GGAGCAAGGACGCTACTAGGGGCTCCTGGCCTTACTACTAGGAGCAAAGGGCATCGCTACTAGGAGCAAAGGGCATCGCTACTAGGAGCAAGGACTACTAGGGGCTCCTGGCCTTACTAGGAACAAGAAGCTACTAGGAGCAAAGGGCATCGCTACTAGGAGCAAGGACGCTACTAGGGGCTCCTGGCCTTACTAGGAACAAGAAGCTACTAGGTGCAAAGGGCATCGCTACTAGGAGCAAGACGCTACTAGGAGCAAAGGGCATCGCTACTAGGAGCAAGGACGCTACTAGGGGCTCCTCGCCTTACTACTAGGAGCAAGTAGCTACTAGGAGCAAAGGGCATCGCTACTAGGAGCAAGGACGCTACTAGGGGCTCCTGGCCTTACTACTAGGAGCAAAGGGCATCGCTACTAGGCGCAAAGGGCATCGCTACTAGGAGCAAAGGGCATCGCTACTAGGAGCAAGGACGCTACTAGGGGCTCCTGACCTTACTACTAGGAGGAGCAATGGGCATCGCTAGTAGGAGCAAGGACGCTACTAGGGGCTCCTGGCCTTACTACTAGGAGCAAAGGGCATCGCTACTAGGAGCAAAGGGCATCGCTACTAGGAGCAAGGACTACTAGGGGCTCCTGGCCTTACTACTAGGAGCAAGGACGCTACTAGGAGCAAAGGGCATCGCTACTAGGAGCAAGGACGCTACTAGGGGCTCCTCGCCTTACTACTAGGAGCAAGGACGCTACTAGGAGCAAAGGGCACCGCTACTAGGAGCAAGGACGCTACTAGGGGCTCCTGGCCTTACTAGGAACAAGAAGCTACTAGGAGCAAAGAGCATCGCTACTTGGAGCAAGGACGCTGCTAGGGGCTCCTGGCCTTACTACTGGGAGCAAGCACGCTACTAGAAGGAAAGGGCATTGCTACTAGGAGCAAGGACGCTACTAGGGGCTCCTGGCCTTACTAGGAAGCTACTAGGAGCAAAGGGCATCGCTACTAGGAGCAAGGACGCTACTAGGGGCTCCTGGCCTTACTACTAGGAGCATCCTTGCTACTAGGAACAAGAAGCTACTCTCGGTCGGTGGCGAGCCAGGAAGGAGAAGATAAGGAGACATGACTTCATGAGCGTGGCTTCGTGTCTTCCTAGGAGTCCCCTGGGCTTGTTGGCCTGAGAGCAAACACCAGTTCATGCTTTATCATGCAGTCGAACAAATTCGCCGCAATGTGTAGCAACAAGCGGTGGGATCCAGCCAAGATAAACCAAAGTATCATTCCTCATAGGAGCGAGTTTGCATTTTCAGGCAAGTTTCCTGCAAGGCTACTTCCGACACATTTTTTCCCCGAAAAAAGAACAGCAAAGATTCCTTGCGTGAGCTCTTTGTATTTCTTTTCAAAATGCTTTGGGTTTCTTTTCGCAGAAAAAGAAAAACACTGCAACTTCCGGCGCCCGGAGCATGCCTTCCCGCCACTTGTCCGCTCGCGGCGCGCAACGGCGCGCCTCAGCAGGTGCGGCGCCCGGCGGACGGAACGGCCGCTTGGTGGATGCCAGCATCTGCTTTTGATGGAGTAGCGTCCTTGCTCCTAGTAGCGATGCCAGGAGCCCCTAGGCGATAGGCTAGGCTTGAGCTTTTAGAGCAAACGAAGTGAGTTAAGGGGGTGTGGGGGGGGGAAGACGCGTTCCCAGGACAACCCCCTACTATACTGGTACCGTTTCCTCGGTCGAACGGATGCTTCTCGCGGCGTTCACGTGCACCGAACGTTTTTCCGGCTTGCCGGTGCAGATAGATAGATAGATAGATAGAGATAGAGATAGCGATAGAGATAAAGAGATAGAGAGATAGATAAATAGATTCTATATACTACTGACTCATGACGTCGCCTTTCTGCTGGCAGCCCCCGCTGAATCCAGTCAGCCTGGGTCCACGGCCCAAAGATCTACACACGCAGGTGCCAAAGTCAAGGCCTCTGAGTGAGAAAGGCGCAGAGTTGATAAGAAAGAGAAGAATAAAGCATGTGTTTGGATCGTTTAATGAAGGCCCCTTTAAAGGAAACAGATTGTGTTTTGGATCGAGCCACGCTGATGTCACTTTCCAACTTCCAAAAGATGCATACCTTCCTGCATGTGACAAACACATGCCATTGCCTTGTGATGATGACCTACACCAACACTCAACGTATCGCATTTCTCTTTCACTACTTCTTTCATACCAAACTTATCCCAAAGCCGTTCTCTGCTCCCTCCATCACCATTACATACCCCCCCCGCATCCGCGGCACCGCTGGCTCGCAAGCTGCCGACCTGTGTCTTGTGCCGCGACGCCCGCCAGAAAAAGAGACACTCGTCTGGCGGCTGCTGGCTTTCGTCCCCACCTTCTCAGGCTTCTTTTAGTTGATATTTGAAGATTGGTGATTTAGCTGTCAGCGGCTAGATCTCCTGTCACAGCGAACTCTTTTTGCTTCCAGCTCAACTACTGCCGAACTCTTGTTTCCTTTTGTCCATTTTTCACTCGAGGACTGGCCCCAATTTGTTCACGTTGGCACGCTGTGGATGCACGTTGTGTCATAGCGGTTTGGTGGCTTGAGTTTTGGCAAGCAAACAATTTAAGGCTTGAAGTCCAACGAACATCAACAGCCCACTTTAAATTAACCCAGAATAAGAATACCCCCAAGCTCTTGAGGGAAAATTTATCAACATGGAACGATTCTTTCCAGGTTCTCTTCGTTTTGAACAAATAACTGGGAGATCTCGGAGGTTGACTGACGCCGTTCGTGTTCTCTTCTCAGGTAGCCTGGGAGGAGAGCCCTTAGAACTGGAGAAGCTGTCTCCACAGGCGCCAGCCATCCTGTTGAATGCCAGGGATGAGAGCATCAACTTCGAAACCTTCAGGCTTATGATTCGCCTAAACGGGTGTAGTTTCTGGATGTACTAGCATGTGAGCAAAAGCCAAGAGAGACTGAAGATTCAAAGCGCCAAGTTGCGAGATACTGTGGGCACTGAATCTGGGTGCCTGGCAGGAGGTTTTGGTGAACATCTACGACAGTGCACCTTGAAGCTGTCTGGAGACGCGAAGCTTGGGATGGTTAGACTGGTTTGTTGATCTAACCATCCTGAGCCACCATCGAGGCTTTCAAACAATCACATGCATTGATTTAATGGACAGGTACAGACTTTAAGATAGGCAGTAAAGACGAGATGCCGGGCGCTCCGATTTTGGTAAGTTGATTGTTTGACACCGAGTGCGGTTCACGGTTCCTTCGCAGTCCCGCCCAGGCAGAGCCGGAGCTGAGTACATTGCGCCGTTGTGCCATCCAACGACTACTCAAGGATTCTTATGCAGGCGACACTGCACCGGCGCCAGTCCGGTATTTATCATGCCAGGATCCCAAGGTGATCCCGAAGTGATTTCAGCGTTGGAATTGTGTGGATGCACCTCAGATCTCTAAGGAACTATCCCTTTCTGAAGCAGAAAGCGATCTGCGGAAACTTTGGTTGTGCACAAGGGCTTTTCATTTGATGTTTGTTTTTTTCCAGGGTGAGATCATGCATCCACCAGCTGGGAAACATTGTCTGACTATAGGAGAGAAAGGATGGGAATTGACAACTTCTGGAGCTAATCTCGGCTCGAAGAACCTCGAGGGTGTCCAGCTGCTGTCATGGGCTGTGGTGGTAGCGCCAGGGTGCAGGCTCCAATGTTTGGCCGGGATTGGTGCTCTCAAGTTAGCTGGGGATCATGTGACGTGACATCCGCAAGTCACACTCGACAGTTGCCGTGGCATTTTGTGCTTGGTTGCGAGATGTTGCGAGTTGGCCTTCTGCCGCAGACTGAATCTATCTGAATCTTGTAGAAGCTGGCGTTGAGCCAAGTTAAGTACACCTTGTTTTAGATGTGAGTTGAAGTCTCTCTATAGGCTATAGGTGTCATCTTCTCATTGCCCTGGGCCCTGCGACCTTAAACACCCTGAAACTCCGAGTTTGGAGTGAGAACGACGAATTCCACCTACGATCGGAGGCCTACGATGTTCAGGATTTTGATGAGATGTCACGTCTCGACATTTTGGAGGCGAATGGAAACCTTGGTCGTTTGGGCTTCACGACTCTTGCCTTTCAGGGAAAATAGGGCTCTTCGGGCTTGGTTCAGGGCTGACACTGTGTCACTCCTTCAGGGTTTAATGGGTGTCTTCTTCGGCTTCACATCTGGGCTGGGTTTGTTTGGGGCCTGACTTCTAAAAAAGCTTTCCCTGGGGTCCGTTTCACTCCCCTTCTGCCCCTAACACCTGCCTCCTTGCCGTTGGAACTTTCCGCACCTCCTCCCCCCGGTCGTGACCGTTTCAGTCTACGTTTCTCCCGTCTCCATTCGTTTCCCCGGACTGAAAGGTCGAAGAAGGTCCATCTCCACGCGGGGGACGGACTTTCTACACGTTTTCGTGACGAAAAGTACCTGAAAAAAGGGAAAGCCCCTTCTGCCCTCACTCAAAGTTTCAATGTTCAATAGTTCCAGTCCAGGTTTCCCGTTGAGGTTTCCTGACTCTGTCATCATTTGGAGTGGAAACACGCCAGCGAAGACTGATTATGGCCATTCAGAGCAGTTTCGTCGGAAGATGAAAAAACGACGCCGCCGACTCCAAAGGAATTTCCAAGGCGTTGACAGTTCTAGGACCTGCTGGTGCGCATCTGAAGAAACCACTCCAGGGAATGGTGGTGCACTTCATGCGACCATCTGACATCACCTGAACAGCCAGGCAACTGGACGAACCAGAGCAGCCAAAACACTGACGCGGGAGGATGAAAAAAGCGGCTCTGTGGAGGAGCCGGAAGCACCTTATCTCATGTTGTCTCACTTGACCATTGGCATCATGTCATTTGCCTTCAAGGATGTCTTGGACAGAGGCCTGATGCCTCT